TCGGGCCCTAGCCAGCCCCACTAGGTATGGAAACTGTGCTGAGCAGCCCAAACAGGCAAGCCCCATGAAAAAGCCCTACTTTGGCGAAATAGGGTTTCACGATTGTGGATCAGTCGGTAAGGAAACGCCCTTCTCACTTAAGCACCCCCGACCCGCGCGCAACGTACACGCGCGCGCGCGCGCAACGCGGAAAAGACAAAAAGTTTCCAGAGGGTGGGGTCGAGCCTAAGCCTCGCGCTACGACAGTTGCGGTGTTTCCAACTAGGCCGCTCGCGCGTCGATTTGGTAATTTGGGTCCCTAGTTCCAAATCTTAAAACAAACCCTTTTGGGCAAAAATTGGGTTTCACAACGGTTGATTGGTTCGCCGCCGTTTTGGCCTGGTTTCCCAACCTACCAAGGCCTAGTAAGTAAAGATCATGAGCCGCACAGCTCTAAAAGGCAAGCCCCCTGAAACGACCCTATTTCGGCGAAATAGGGCTTCACGACTGTGGATTGGTTTGCAACCTTTTTGCTGTTGTCTCAGGCCCTAGCCACCCCCACTAGGCATGGAAACTGCGCTGAGCAGCTCAAATAGGCAAGCCCCATGAAACGACCCTATCTCGGCGAAATAGGGTTTCACGACTGCGGATTGGTTTGCAGCCTTGTTGATGTTGTCTCGGGCCCTAGCCAGCCCTACTAGGCATGGAAACTGTACTGAGCAGCTCCAACAGGCAAGCCCCATGAAAAAGCCCTATTTTGGCGAAATAGGGTTTCACGACTGTGGATTGGTTTGCGGCCTTGTTGATGTTGTCTTAGGCATGGAAACTGTGCTGAACGGCTCAAGTAGGCAAGCCCCATGAAGCAACCCTATTTTTGCGAAATAGGGCTTCAGGACTGTGGATTGGTTTCCACCCTTGTTGATGTTGTCTCGGGCCCTAGCCAGCCCCACTAGGCATGGAAACTGTGCTGAACAGCTCAAACAGGCAAGCCCCATGAAACAACCCTATTTTTGCGAAATAGGGTTTCACGACTGTGGATTGGTTTGCAGCCTTGTTGATGTTGTCTCAGGCCCTAGCCAGCCCAAGTAGGTCAGGAAGCTGCGCCTTGCAGCTCAATTAAACATAGACCACCCCCCCCTCAAGAGAACACTTTTTTTTCAAAGGCTTTGGAGCCACCCACCCGCTCACTCGTGCCAGCCAAGCACAAGCAAACCCCGATCAGCCACGTCCCTCCCAAGGGGTGCGTGTGCTGGTTGGGGGTCAAGAAGACAGATAGACAGACAGACAGACAGAGAGACAGCCCACCCAGCCAGCCTGCCAGGAGCCAGGCAGGCAGGCATGCAGGCAGACGAGGTGACTGAAATTATTCAAATTAAACGAGGCGAGGTGAATAATTTCAAAACATTGAATTAAGACGAGGTACGAGGTGAACGAAACTAATGAAATTAGTTTAATTCACCCAGATTGGTGTTGCAAGCAGATCATTGAATCTGGGATAGGTGAAGTCTGGCACACATTCTGAATTGAATCGGAGGAGGGGAGCCTCATGTGGGGCCAGCTGTACACGGGGGCGGGGGCAACTAAATGAAGGTACGGTAATAATGGAAGTGGAACACAGGAACACCACCTGTTTGCAGAGGGAAATTGCCATCCGGGCCTATGTTCCACTTCCGTGATTATTTCCGGCAGTGCGCACTCATTCATCTCCTTAGGCCAAAAGCTTGCCAGGGGTCAAGTTTGGAAGCGCACCACACGTGGCGGACTGGTTGAGGTGCCTGGAGAGGGCAGTCGAAAGGAGATGGAACAATCGGCATTGTAGGTTGACATGATCATATGATATTGTGCTTTTGCATTGAACAGTTGCATGGACCACAGCCCTGCCATGTTCCTGGGACTGTTCCATGAAAAGCCTGCAGACACGCTGTAGCTCCTCACAGCCTTCGTCGCGTCGCAGGCAGAAGGCCCGTGAGATGCCAGAGGAGGACTTGGCCAAAGAGGAGTTCGGTGCCCGGTACGGGGCCAGTGGCCCCCCAACCCTCGGCTGTGCTCATCAAGCCTCATGCCCCCGAGCGCATCAGAGTGCCCCACCCCCACACACCACTTGCGGCAAGATGTGGCACGAGTTTGACAAACGTGTCGTTTGAGACATCAACTCCTTTGCGGTATGCCATCAGACATCTGCAAGAAGCGTTGGATCTCGGAACTCTTCTCCGCTGCCAACTGGAGAAGATGCCATCCACCCGGTGGCTCTTCCGAGGCTCACGGAGGCTTTGCTGAAGCTCTTGGCGGCCCCCCCAGGGCCGCTTTCAAAGTGAGGGTGGCCCAGCACCTGTGGGCGCAATGTGCAGAGGTGATTTCACGGTCACTGATCGAAAAATAACCCATAGCCACAGACATCCATAGACCATAATCGACTGACCTACCCGTTGATCTCAATTGGACCAGGGGGATCTCCGTCAAATACACGCCCCCCACAGACACCATGAAAGAACTTCATGTTAGCAGGACCACTTGAGGCTGCCCAGGAGGTTCTGCTCCTCGATGCGGCCACTGAGGCTCTGAGCTTTTGCAGCTGCAAGAGGTCTCGAAGCGCCTGGCGGAGCTGCAACAAGAGCTGCTGGGCAGAATGGGGCAACCTAGAATCGCTCGGGTTCAGCATGGGATAGTGGAAGGGATACGAATGAAATGGAATGAGATGGAATGAATCTGTTCATGCTTGGGATCTCTGATTCGGCCTGACCGACTCCGCAACAGACATCACACCGAAAGATCCTGACTGAATCGAAGGAATCTCACCGGGCTGTGCCACCGAACATTAGCTGTGAACATAAATCACAAGTAGCATAAGTAGCATTACAGTATCCAACTGCTCTCTCCCTGTTATGTCTCAGGTTGGTTGAGCAGAGAGATAGCCTTGGTGCTCAGAAAGAGGACGGGCAGATTTCGGAGAAGAACCGTCCATTGATCTGAACCAGGAACGTGCAGCATGCCGATGGTGTGCGATCCAATCTTCACAAAAGTTTACAAAAGTTTGTATGTGGAGCAGCATGGCCGGATTGAACACCAGTTGCAGAGATTTCACCTGTTTGATTGTAGTGGGACATCCTCCATCTAGTCGCACCATCTCGATTATATAAGGCTGTTTGTTTCATCCAAAGACTTTCAATGTCGCTGGTGGTCAACTTGCATCATTTGTATCCTAATTGGAGTAAGGCCGTTGTTGATCTCCAATTTCTGCATATTCTTTAGGGTCGCTGAAAAGGGCGCACCTGCACACCCTGCACTCCCATCACCACCTGAAAAGCAGGAGCTGGCCCAACGAGAGGCCGAACTCAAGGTGTGCCTGGTGGGAGACTGGCAAGCATGGGCGTTCTGGACGATGATCTCAATCTCCCCATGCGGCTTCGAGTCTGTTCATCATGAATGTAGAAGCTAACAGAAAATATATGAAAATATAACAAATACATTCTCACCGTTGGTGAAGTCGAATTGGGCTGACCGTAAGGAGAGGACGACCACGAGATTGACTCGACAGCACATTTGGAATTGAGGGAATCCTGAACCCGTAATTTTGGAAATGAACATTCTCCTCCAACGTTTCAGTGTAGCCTCAGCCAGGCTCAGCAGGAAGCCTTGGAGGCAAAGCCAGTGAACAGGTGCGGGATGCTTCGCCACAAAGAGCTTCAAATCGATGTTCAGCGGTGTTCGCCAGACAGCACGCTGCT